AGCCAATTTATCCAAATAACTTGTGTAGCATTAACATTTTTGGCATTTTATAATTTGGAAACGATAATTTGTTTGGAGTTTCTTTAGGCCAAGACACGTGGCCTTCGTAAGGATACTTCTTTGTCTAGCTTATATAGATATTGACCAGTTATCTTCCATTCAGTACTTTTGTTCTCTATCGAGTTTGGCCAGCTTTTCTCCTTTTGCTTCGTTAAAAATTCCTTTTTTGGAGGAATTAAGTCCCTCTCTTGCGTATTTTCTGCTCGTTTGTTACTCTTTTTCTTCGAAAAAATTTCCTGGCATTTCACTCAACCACAGAATCCAACAACCAGCAGATAGAGCAGCTCTTCAAAGCATTTATGCTCTTTCATGCTTAACTCAACCCCTCAAATAGGCAGAGAAAAACATCTGAAAATTGGGCGGAAACACCCAACTCTGCACGAAGAGGTCAATAACTTACCCTAAATTTAATTAGGCACCTTTGCAATGCAGGAACTGATGACTATTAGTCTCCAACTCCTTAGAACACATCACATAAATACCAAGAGAAATAGAAGTCACCTGAAGCAAGTAATCATTGTTAATCTAATTAAGAACTGTGGTCCAGACAAATATTTTAATCTTTGAGGGAGTCGCACCATCTCGAAGAGTTAATAAAATCTAAATTGGTGTTAGGATTCCAAATCAAAGTAGCCAGTAAGAATTTGTTTTCCTCCATATGGGAAAATAACTGTGTCAAAACAAATAAACCTTTCTTATCTATAATAAAACTTTAATCTTAATATTCCATTAAAGACTTTTTGACAAAACATAATACTCAACATCTCAATGAATTTGTCTAAACAAATAAAACTTTCTTAGATATAATAAATCTCTAGTCTTAGTATTCCATTAAAGACTTTTTGACAAAACATAATACTCAACATCTTAATGAATTATCACATAATCACCATCATTTACACATGAAATGATAGGAAAATGACATGTCCCAGGCACCAAAAGAAAAGAAAGAGAAAATAAAAAGAGGTATAGATCTGATTGATGCTCTTGTTTGCATCAGAGTTGCTGGGAAGAAAGAAAACTGAGCAGGAGGTTGCCACGTGAATACACTTTTTAAAAAAAAATAAGAAGTGTGGAGTACATATTGACAGGCAATACACTTAAAGACATACATATCAATGGTATAGTGTTGGTCTTAAGGCCAATATATGCACGTTCACATATATATGCTTCTGATTTTGGCCAACCAGGAAAGAAAATATGTGTTCGTTATAGCAGAAAGTACATAATATAACCACAGAATATAACAGAAAAAGAAGCAAAAACTGAAACTATAAAAAATGGACATTCATGCTATCTACATGCATAAGGTTTATCTATAATGTTTCTGAAAGAAGCAAGATCCCATTACAAGAAAAAAAAAACAAAAGTATAGAAGGGCAAAGAAAGCAACCTGAGTTATAATATTAGGAAGCATAAATAAGGGAAACCGAAGCACCGCGAACAGTGAAAGAGACGTGAATGCCCTTGCAGGTGTTAGATCTCCTCCAAGCAAAGTGAACATACCAAATGAAACAACAGTGACAACAACAGGAATGCTGTTTAGAATAAAACTGTTTAACTGCACCAAAAAAAAACATGAAATGGTCAGCAAAAATAATTACTAGAAAAGCAATTATGACAGATGGCCCATGTTCGATAAAAGCATGAAAGACTCGCACATAATATAAAATATATCAACTTAGTCTTAAGTATAGAAAGAACTTCTCTTCAATATCCAAGATATTCAACCAAAAAATATCTAATTAATCAGTTGTAAACTTGACTTTCAGATATCAACAATTGCAACTGCCTAAGAGGACAAGTTCATATGATTTTTTCGCATGCAGAGAAAATTTTCATTAATGATAATTAGGTAAGATTAACTGCTCCCGTGATAGATAAAATTTAGGAAAAAAAATGATAGCAACTAAATCCATGTGCATGTGTATGATGCTTCTTTTACCTCAAAAAAGCATGCATGGGACACCAATATTACATACAAAAGCTAGATACTGGCCACTGAACAGATTTGCACAATACATTGGTAATCTTCAAATATATCACGGGGAGAAATGATCCATAGTCACTGGATGCCAAGCTAACATATCAGCATTATATCAAGAGTGCAATGCACAAACAAACAAACTCCAAAAAAATCTTGCTCTGTGCCATACCGATCCCAATAGCAATGCTTTGCGGAACCATGA